CTTTCAGAACTAGATAAATCTAACCAGAAAATAAATAAGAAAGAAGTGAAGGGGATCAATAGAATTTTGGAAAGGTTAAATATAGTTGGCCTCTGGAGAAAACTGAATGGGGGCAGAAAGGCATATACATTTTTCTTGGCAGTACATGGCACCTACACAGAAATTGCCCATGTAATAGGGCATAAAAATTTCACAATCCAATGCAGAAAGGCAGATATATTAAATGCATCCTTTTCAGATCATGATGCAATAAAAATTACATGTAATAAAGGCGAATGTTGTGTGAGACACATACTCATGTGTTAATATTTCTCCGGTATTGAGTAAATACTTCAAACATGACTGAAACAAAGAAATATGAAAAGATACCATCAACCCATCTCCTTCATGGAGGTGGGAGGTCTACATATTGCACATGATTTTGGACTTTTTCAATTTGTTTATTAGTTATGCTGATTTTTTTCTACCTCTCTTCCCTCTGTCTCTGTCTCTGTTTCCCTGTTTCTCTCTGTCTCTCTCTTTCCAAAATACTATTTGTTGTGTGGGATGGTGCTCTGGAAGGGGAAGGAAAAGGGACAGCAGGTAATATTATGATGATTAAAAAATAAGGACATCAAAAACTTATTTTTACAGTCTTTCAAAGTTGTTTACAATGAATGCTATCTTCCTTGTATAAATTATTCTTGATCTAATAACTTTATTCTGCATCAGTCCATATTACCCAGGATTCTCTGAAATCCTCCCCCTGCATTTCTTATGGCATAATAATATTGTATTACATTCCTATATTATAATTTGTTCCCCAATCATTTAAGAAGCAATCTACAGTACCCTCTTAGATTATACTTGTTTTCTCTCTTCCTCCCTCCATTTCCATCTCCCTATCAGGATTAGGACATTTATTTCACTTGGAACTTTTTCTGATAATATCCTCCCTCATATCCTTCATTGCTTTTTACCCATGCTAATTCCTCTGTTGAGCTTACTATATTTCTATATGTAATTCTTTGCATGTATTCGAGCCTCTTTTTTCTGGCTCAGTTAAGAGTGAAGTTCACTTGATGCTTCTTGTGTAATTTCTTCATTCATATTTGTATATTCTTCTTACATATCCTATTTCTGAGAAGTGGAAGGTTCAATTACCTTCTTCCTTCTTTTGGTGCTGGTGTATTCCTTTGACCTTCTCTTTTCTATTACCTTGTAAAATCTTCAGAACAGAATCAATGCACCCTCTTTTTAAAAATTTAACTCTCACAAAACCATTTTGTATATATTAAGGTTCTAAAAGGACAGTTGTTTTTATTACTCTATGAGATTTTACAGCCCCTTTTAATTACTCAAGTAAATTTACCTTTTCTTGTTTCTCTTGACTCTTGTTTCATTTCAAAGTTTCTACTTAGCTTTGGTCTTTTCATCATATATGCTTAAAAATCTCTTCTCCATTGATTTTTTTTCTTTTGCAGTTACAAATATTTTTTCTTTCTAAGTTGGATTTTTGGTTATTATTGAGTTATAATTTTTTGTAGTGGTCTGTATCTTCTTACTTCTCTCCCCAGCTTTATTTCTTAAATTGGTGCTTGCGCCAGGACCATACTTTTTACTTTCCCTTTGGGTGAAGTTGTAAGCCTTTCTTGAGCTCAACCTACATCATCTGAGTTTCTATGTGGATCTCTACTTACAGAGGTCAGATTCCCCCAGATTTTGGAGGTTCAGAGTATTGAATCTTCAGGAACCTTTATGGCATATCAAGATAGAGTACTAGAGATTCTCAGGGACTAACAACATGGGCTGTTGTGGTCTGAGTGAGGCTGTGTAGGTAGGCAAAGTGCATCAATTACTCCTACTGTTAGTGTTTTAAGTTTCTGATCACCCTGGGGCTTTCTTGGAAGAGATTTCAACTGCAGTTGTCACTAAATACAAGATCTTATAAGTTAAAGTGTCTCTGGCAGACCTTTATTCCAGTTGTGGGATCCTGGCTTGTTTAACTTAGCTTGGTTCGCTTGGAAGACCCCCTTCCTATTGCCAGTGGGCTTCTGCATGTCTTTTTGTGCAGTTCTTTTGTGGAAAAAATAATTTACTGTTGGATTTCTTGATCATTATTTCATCTAGTACTATTTTTGCATTTTTGTTAGTGTAAGGTTGTGGGAGCTTGGCTGCCTGCTTTGGTTTAAGCACCCATCTTAGTTGGAAGTTGGATACTTCTGATATTTAAGTGTTCTGACCTCACAGTTTCTTAAACTAATCAAGCATTATGAATCCAATTCTCCTACCTTTCCCCCATCCATTGGGGGTATTCACAATCTATGCATCATCCTCACTAAAACTATTCCATCTTCAAAGTACTTAACTCTACAAGTCTTCTTTCCAACTATTGGCTCCAGTCCTTTCTTCTGTTTCTCTTTCTAAGCAAAAGCTAGTGATAGAACAGATCACTATTCACTGAATCCCTAATAGGCCACTTGAAGAGGTAAGAGAACATGGGAAATCTCTACTTAGGGTGTCAGTGAAGAGTCTGTGCCTGTCTATTTCTTACATGATGCCAACCAATCTTGTTCTGCTTATTCTATTAGATTGACTGGTTAGGCCAGAAGGTAAGGAAAATGTGGGGTTAGTGAATATGTTCCCTCAAATGAACTGTTACAAAATCGCTGTCAAGCTAGAGTCTGGCAGATTGAGTGATTTTTATTTCTGTTGCTCTTAAATTTCCTCTGTGTGGAATGATTTATTCCTATCAGTGGGTGTGTCCTATTTGCCCAAATCATCATATTTGGAATACTTTCCTGTTTAATCCATGAACTGTTGCTTAGAATTGGGACTTGGTCAGTATCACCTGCATCAAACAACCTGTGTCCATGCAGTGATCATGCATATGAATGTAAGACGTAGGGATAGACCTTCAAGAATCAAAGAATAGGAACTTTTCCTTATCCTCACTTTTTTATTATAAGGGATAGAAACCTGGTGTAAAACTTTGTTTCTTTTACTTAAATGTGGAGAGGGGGCCCATTTCAATTTCTTCTCTTCCTAGGAAGTACTGAATTCTTTGCCCAGCTATCTTAGGGAATAACCTCAGGCAAATAAATAACTTCTTTACCCCCCCCCTTTCCTTCCTCTAATACATTAAAAAAAGCCTGTGGGAGTTGAGATAAGGAAGCTCTAAGTTCAAAAGTTTTGCCTGCCTTAGCAAAGGGGACACCTGAATATCATATAGGTATAGACTATGGTCATGGACTTTCTGAGGTTTAAATTAGCATGCCAGGTATGGTTCTTCCCTTAGGAATAATTCGCTCATCTAAATAAAATATTGCGATTAGAGGAGATGAAAGTTCCAAGTAAGGGACAACAATAAGAAAATAAATACCCATTTTGCTTTAATTAAAAGAAAGACAAAGAATAAATAAAACACCAGGGCTCAGATACTTGCAAGGAAAATTTCAGTGTAATACACACACACACACACACACACACACACACACACGTAGGTATATACACATATATATGCATTTGAAATAATTTAACATTGTGTGATAGAAAAAGTTCAATTTTCAATTTAGCTCTGAAAGCCTTCCAGGGCTAAATTGGGATGCCCAGAGGAATTCAGAACAAAAATATTTTTTTTCTTTTCCAATGAGGAAAGAAAGGGTAAAGACCTGGAATAGATCAAAGAGAAAAGAAGTTAACTCATTATTTTAGGTTTTTTTTTTCTGATGTAGCAATGAGTGAGTGCTGGCAAAAGTGTTCTTGTTTCATCTTTTTTATCTATATGTGATAAAAGTTGTTCAGGGAGAAGAAAAAAGCAGCTCCTAATAAGATTGGAGTTAATTTAAAATGAAATGGGAGCTTTTTGTTAGGAAGTTTCTAAGCTTCCAGAGTGTCTGCTATTTGGGCTCAAGTGGAACATTAATTCAGTCTACTCTTCATTCTTTCCTCTTAATCTGGCCAGTTAAAAGAAAAAAAAATAAAATAAAGAAATAAAAAGAGTCTCTTACTCCCTAAATTTGTTGTAAGAACAAAATTCATGACTTCACAGGGACTCTAGGAATGATATTTTAAAAATGGACTGGTTTGTTGCAAATTAAAATGGGGTTGGCTTTCTATATTGAATTTCATGTTGAAGTGTCTCTGGAAGTGCTATATTGTGGATTATTAAATATATAGCTAAAGGATTTATTAAATACCTATGTTCCAGACAGTATGCTAATTAGAAATAGATATTTATAGCTAGCCTTTTTCTTTTAAAACATATTATTTACTTTAAACATTTTTTATTTTTAAATTTTGAGTTACAGATTCTCTTCCTCCCTTCTACCCCTCCTTCTCCTACTGAGAAGATAAGCAATATATCAATTACATATGTGAAATCATGTAAAACAGATTTCCATACTACTTTCACATACATGAAGATAGCCATATTACTTTCATTTTTTTTGATTTGTAGTTTATCAGTGTGTTGATGAAAATTCTATTTTTGAGACAAAAGTTTTGAAGAGGAGGCCCCTTAAGACATCTTAAAATTGTACATCTTACTATTCCTTCTAAATATACAACAAAGTTATCATGTAAATTTCTTTTTTTCTTCCCTCACTCTTCCCCAACCCTAGAGCTGGTAACCATTAGACACAAATAGGTGTGTGTTTGTGTGTATATATATATGTGTGTGTGTGTGTGAGAGTGTGTGTGTATGTGTGTATCTATACGTATATATGTATACATATATACATACATATATATATGTAAAATTATTTGCTACATATTTCTATTCATCAGTTCTTTCTCTGGATGCAGATAGCATCTTTCTTCATATGTCCTTTATAGTTAATTTGGGTATTTATAATAGTCAAAATAAGTTATTTGCTCAGAGTGTATATATTTTGACAATCATTTATTAACAACCTTTAAGAGACAGCATTTCCTAACTAATGACCTTGACATGGGCAAACCAGGAAAGAGTTCAAGTCATAAGCACAGAAAGGCCAAAACTGATTTCCTTTTCTTTCTTTTTAAATAAAGCAATCATACAGTTGTGGAAAAGGTCTTAATGTTAATCCCTGTGAGAAGTGTTTCCCATGTATTAGTTTCATCAGAGAAGTCTTGATATCGTTGTTCCTCAGGCTGTAGATGACAGGGTTCAGGGTTGGGGGCACCACTGTATAGACTATAGATAATGACAGATCTAGAACTGAGTAAGATTCCTGGTGTGGCTTTAGATAAGCAATGACACCTGTTGTGATAAAAACTATGAGAACTATGAGATGGGGCAAGCAAGTGGTGAAGGCTTTTGACTGACCCTCTGTGGTTGGAATCTTCAGCACAGTTGAGAATATGTGACCATAAGAGAAAGCTATGGAAATAAAGCAGAGAATCCCTAAAGTAATCCCAATAGACAAAGTCACATTTAATCCAATATGTATATCAGAGCAGGAGAGCCTAAGCAATGAAGGGACATCACAGAAGAACTGATAGATCTCTTTGGAGCCACAGAAAGGCAAAGTGAATGTACTACCTGAGTACAGAGCCCCTAACAAACCTCCAGTGAGCCAGGAAGCAGTTGCCATCTTCACACAAGTCCCTCTGGTCATGATGACTTCATAGTGCAGGGGCTGAGAGATGGCCACATAGCGGTCATAGGACATTATTGTGAGGAGAGAAAGCTCAGATGCTGCAAAGAAAATTACTAAAAATAACTGTAATACACACCCCATGAAAGAAATGGAATGGCTATGGCACAGGGAGTTTGTGATAGATTTAGGGAGTGTGGTAGAAATAAAGCAAAGATCTAAAAAGGACAGGTTCTTCAGGAAGAAGTACATGGGGGAGTGGAGATGCTCATCAAGAGAGATGAGGGTGAAAATGAGCAGGTTCATCACCAGAGCCACCAGGTACATCAGTAAGAAGAGCATGGCATATAAGACCCGCAGCTCCCAGGTATTGGAAAAGTCCATCAAGAGGAATCCTGTCACCATGGTGAGGTTGGTCATGCTCGAGGAGTTCTCTTGATTATCTGAACAGAAAAAAGAAGCATTTATCAACTGATGAGAAGACTCAGTATGCTGGATGTGAAGAGACTTTGGTTCAGGCCTATTCTGTGATTTTATAAAAATCACAGATCTTTGGTTATTTGCTAAATGAGAAGATGAAACTATATCAGAGAGTCTTAACCCTACATTCATGAATTAAAAAAAACATTTTGATAATTATATTTCCTTATGGGTGATTTCTTTGAAATCTATGTATTTTAATTTATATATTTAAATATACCATTCTGAGGAGGAAGTGGTAGGCTTCACCAGAAGCAGCCCGGGACACGACAGGTTAAGAATTCCTGAACTAAGTGATTTTTAAGGGCTCTTCTCCATTCCAAAGGCTCTGTGTTTCTAGGAATAGTATTCACAGTTTGAAAAAGATGCTAACAATGGCAATGTATCTCTAAAGTATATGAATTTTAAGAGTTAAGAACCCTGTGAGATAGATGGGTCAAGTAGCATCATGCAGTTTTGGACATAAGATGCCATATCTCAGGGAAGTTATGGGTTTTCTAGTGGTCATACAAGAATTGTCAGAACCTGATTGCTAACCCTGTGGTTCTGATTCCAAGGTTCAGTTGAAAGCTACTCCAGGTTCCTGTACTGAGGCAAACCTGAGCTTTCTCTTCATCAACAAATGACTTTCTTCCCATGCTTCAAAATGTTAATGATATAGATAGATTCTCACACAATTTGAAATGATGTCCACTGTCTAAGATGGTAACCCAACCAAGACACTGTTGTATTGACAGCCTTATTACCCCAGAATAATAAAATTGTTATGCAAATGAAGTCAGTGTCATGGATATGACACCAATATGGGCCATTTTAATTTTATATTCTCCCTTAATTAAATACAATGTCATCAATAACTCAGAACAGCCATATTGAACTGCAAATCCATTGTCAGCTGGAGAACTAATTCTCAAATCATATTTATTTGTGGTAAGTCTGTTCTATTCTCTTTGTATGATGAAGGCAGAAAGGGGAATGACTGCCCTCTGGAGTCTGATTCATCTTGTTTGAGTTAAAGTATCCATCCATCTCCTGGCTGCTGGGTGGAACAATGGAACAGTGAATGCCAGACCTATAGTTAGGAAGACCCGAGTCTAAATCCAGCTCAGACACTTACTAGCTGTGGGACTCTGGACAAATCACTTAACTTCAGCTTGCTTCAGTTTCCTCATTTGTAAAACAGGAATAATAACAACACCTACCTCCCAGGGTTGTTGTGAGGGTCAAGTGAAATAATAATTATGTCTCTTAGGACAGTACCAAGCTACATGATAATTGCTATATAAATGTTAGCTCTTATTATTCTACATCTTCCTAAACTCTTAAGGTAACATACAAATATGTGCCTGAAGGATCCTCTACTCTCATTAAAGATATACAGAACAAATCTGTACTTTGTACACAAGACAAAGGAATTACTGATAAGCATGTTTCACTAATACTTTTCAAGCTTTTATCAATTGTCTGCTTTATACAAACTGTGTTCTAGACCTGTATCAGTCATGCAGATCAACAGTGCCTAATTGTAGGCCTCAGGGAACTTCTGGACTGTTAGGGAGATGAGAAATATTTGCAAATAACTACAATACAAATTAGAATGAAATAAAGGAATAAGAATATAACAAAGGGTTCAGTGAGATGCAAGAGAGAGAGTTAACTTCTGGCAGACAGACCGAAAGATACACACATATACATGTGTATGTATATCTATATGTATATTTATTATATTACAGAACCTTATGTAGTATGGTGGGTTTTAAACAGTGGGCTGGATCTCTTCAGGCAGAAATATTTAGGTTTTTGAAGGAAATATTCCAAGTTTTTTGCTAGTAAATATACAGAAGCAGTAATGGAAAGGTCAAGTTTGGAAAGACGGAGTCTCTATTTCTCAACATAAAGACCTTTTAAAATCCTAAATATTGATTTTGAGGTGTAGTTGCAATTGAAATTTTGGTATTTCTACTAAAATTTCAAAGACTTACTCTCCCTAATCATGTTCTTTTTCTTCCTTGGGACCTCTAGTCCTCATATTCCTCAGTACTTTCCTTGGCAATCTCCCTGCTCTGACTTAACTTTCCTAATTGGGACACTATACTTATTTGGGACACTAAACTTAATCGATTTTGTCTCCTCTTGAATCACTTGCTTTCTTGTATAACTGCAGATCACATCTATTAAAATTAACTTGTAATTACTCTTGCATTCACCTTCTTTAATCCTATTTAGGTGCTATTGAATGCAGCTGATGAAAGGAAAAACTACTAAATGGGCCCATTGTGAATTTTGATTTTCTAATCTCTGCTAGGCAATTCTTTTTTAAATCACATTCTCCACTTTGTCTTTTCTCAAACTTATCTACTCTCTTTAAATTTCCCATATTCTTTTTTTTTTTTTTTGCTTTTGGGCAATTGGGGTTAAGTGACTTGCCCAGGGTCACGCAGCTAGTAAGTGTCAAGTGTTTGGTCTGAGGCAGGATTTGAACTCAGGTTCTCCTGACTTCAGGGCCAGTGCTCTATCCACTGCACCATCTAGCTGCCCCCCCATATTCTTTTTAATCAACATCTCTCATAAGTTAGGACTTCATTTCATACTTCAGTTAGATAATAGAGACTATACATGGTGAGATTTTTCTCTCCCCTTCTTTTTCAGTCATAATTCCTTAACATCCTCCATTCTCTCCTCCTTTAGTCCTTGATGATGATGTGAGGTAGGTTACAAGTTTCCAGACAAAGGTGAGACTTTACCCATACCATTGATCCTTTCCCATGCAGTCTTTATTTATTATCTTCATTCTTTTATCTCCTTCTGAATTTCCCTATCTACTGGTTCCTTCTCCCCTGCTTATAAACACACCTGCATTTTCCTCATTCTTAAAACAAGAACAACAATAACAAAAACCTCACTTCATTAGACCTTGCAATCTTTGAAGACAGGTTATCTTTCCATCTCTCTCTTCCCTCACTCAGCCCAAGTCTACTGTCTACACTTTTGGACTCCACTGCCTGTTCTCCCATACTTCCTAACTCTGCTATAATCTGCTACATGACTTCATCAGCCACTGGAAATGATCCTTTCCTGAGTCACTAACGAATTTGTTAATTGATAGATATGATTGCCTTTTCCCTAGCCTTACTCTTCATAGCTTCCATGCAGTATTTAAAACTGCTGGCCACCTCCTTTTCTTTGCTCTCTGAATTTTTCTGACCCTGCTCTCTTTTGGTTCTATTCTTATATATCTTATGACTCACTCTTAGTTTCTCTTGCTGATTCATTCTTACAACATGCAAAGTGTGGATAGATGCCAAAGTTTTGTTATAGGCTCCTGTATGCTTTTCCTGGATCCTCCTTGTAAACTTATCAGTTACATAGGTTTGTCTACTTCCTCTATGATGATCGGTCCTACATCTATACTTCCTGATCTTGCATGTTGTTGCATCATCATCTGCCTATTGGACATTTCAAAGTAGAAGTCCTATAGAAATTTCAAACTCAACATGTTCAAAAAAAGGAATTATCTCTACCAAGTCTTCTCACTCTCCTCTCCCCACCATCCTAAGAGTCCTCTGTTTCTGAAGTTCCTTACTTCCATCAAGTCCTATTCTTTCAGTCTTCCAGGTTCAGAGGTTTACTGATGTTCTTCTTACCTCACTCCCACCTACCACAGATGTCCAATAAGTTTCCACATCTTGTACTTTCTGTCTCCACATCTCATATTGTCTCTGTTCCTTTCATTTACTTAGCTACCACTTTAGTTCAGTCTCTGATTACCTATCACTAGACTCTTTCAATACCCTCTTAATTGTGGTCCCAATCTCAGTGGGAACAAGTATGTGTCCACTGCAACCTATTCTTCACATAGCTGCCAAACTGGCTTTTCTAAAGCAAAATCTGACTGTGGCCTTACCCCACTCATGCTCCCTAATACTTCCAGGATCAAATATAAACTGCTCTGTTTGGCAATCTTTGGTGAAACAGAATTCAAATGTTCTTCTCAGCCATATGTACTTCTTTCTTCTCTAGGCCCCCACAGTCCAGCCCCAAAATGCCTCCTTGCTGTTCCTTTTACATGGCATATTATTTCTCATCTCTGTAACTTTGCATTGTTGTTCCCCATTCCTGACATGAATTTTTTCCTGGGGTCAGTGTACCAGAATTCCTGTTTTTTCATGTCTTATCTAAAGTGCCCCATTCTACATGAGCTTTTACCTGTTTTAAACAACCTGTTGCCTTTTCCCTTGAAGTCTCCTTGCATCTGTTTGATATTCTTTTTAATATACTTATATACAGATATATTCTGCCTTTCTGAAATACTTTTTAAAATCTTTGAAGTCAAGGACTGTTTTCACTTTTGTCTTTGTAGCCCCAGAACAATGACTGACCTAAAGTAAGAGCTTATTGAATGCTTGTTGGTAGATTGGATTCAACCTTTAAGTGATTCCTTAGGTCATAGATTTTAAGGAGCATTGGAAAGGTCATGGTGCCTCATGATATAATTCCAAACTCTGTGAAATGCTTAACTTTACTGTTTTATACTACCTGAAATTTTATAATAAAAATAATTAAATTACATGTTTTGTTTTGTTTTTTGACACTGGGTTAAGATCAGGTGCCAGAATGAGTGTTTTACAGGAATGTTATTGAGAATGGATGTCTAATTTTGGAACTGGAATCAGCACAAAGAAAGTTAATAGGTTAGGTGGAAATTAGGATAGGGGAGCCAACTCTGGAGTCTGATCAGGTAGCAAGGGAGCAGCATGAGGGATTTGTATTATTAAAGGGTAGAGAAGAGAAAAAACCAAACTTTAGGAGGAAATGGAAGTAGGAAGATCTCTAAAGCAATCTCTACCTTTTCTTCAGTTTCTCCAACACTTTGCCCCCATTTTCATACCTGAGACCGTTTTTATAGTCACATGTGCAAGTTGTCAGAAACAAGCTTTACA